ATTACTGTAACATATCTTATCAGGAAGGGCAGACCATGGGGTAGGGTGAAGCAGAGACAGGGGTGGGCTGTGAACTTCCCACAACTCCACTGTCACTTCTCTATTGCAGCCATGGCAGTGTCTTGCTCTGTAGGTATTTTTCATATTAGAAGAAAGCAAAAGAATACTTGAAAAGAAAAAGTCATTCTGACCCCCCTTTCTCACTGATKAAATAATTTTAACTACACTAGAGACTAAGAGCAAATCAAGCATCAAACTATAAAAAGAGCCAGAGAAAAATTCTTATCTCTTTCTTTCATTACTGTAGAGTGTCTGATTTTCTCTGTTGCAAACTGTTACTCTGTAAATGGTTCCTCCATGGAAATGAAGCAGCCTGTAATGAAAGCACAGATAGCTGGGCACAGATGAGGAAAAGTGTGATGGTTCACTGCAATATAGAGATCACCTCAGGCAGATCTTTTTTTTTTTCACTCTAAGTGGTTTGTCTTTATTTAAAAGTGCCTTAATTTCTCCGTTTCCTTATCTATAAAATGGAGATACTGCCTTCCTGCATGAGAGGAGGTTCCACTGGCAAAGCATTTTGAGATGATTAAATGGCTTGTGCTGTGGAAATGCACATTATTATCATGTTGAGACTTGAAGGCACTGACCTTGACAAAAAGGTGAGCGACAGCCTGGCTGCATGATCAAGCAGCATTAGGGCAGGCAGCACTTCACTTTCATGATGCTCAGCTGTAATATAATCATCTCTAATGTAGCTTTTGGAGGCACTTCCCAGCCTGACTGGGAGAAGTTGCTTAGGAAGGTCTTTTCCACGGCGTGCAATTACAAAATGAGAATGGGAGGGAGGRAACGGGATGAATGAAAACAAACATCATTCTAGGAACAACTGYTGGTGGTTAATACTTGACCATTACTTCTTGACAGGATTAATGTCTTTCTAATCACACTAATCCCTTCTGATAATTTTATCCATAATCCATCTATTTCAAAGCAACATCCAGATGGCTTCTGGTGGACAGGAAGACAAAATAAACATGCAGAATGGGGTCTTAGCAGCAGCTTCTTGTATTTTCCCTTTCCGGGGATATAGGGCTTGATCTTGAGACAGGCCAAAAAACGTGCTATTATCAGACAACAACAGAAAAACCTAAAGTATTGCAGAGAAGAGAGAAAATTCTATTTTCATTTGTAAATAAAATACCTCATAGGTACTCTGATGTTTATCTGTGACTGCCAGAACAAGCCTWAAAGGTGCTCAAAAGGGTTTTGCTACTTGTTTGCATGGGACTAATYAGATTTCCAAGATATTGGAAAAAATTCCCTTCTTATTTACACCCAAAAATTCTATATTAGTTTTGAGGGTTTTACACAGATTTCCCTCAAAGCAGAATGAAACTTATTAATTGATAGTTTCATTGATTCAACAATTGTAAATACTTTAAAYAACATAGAAACTGACTACCTTTTAAATTAATCATATATAATAATTCCTGGAGTTTATGAGGTCTTCCCCTTCACTTTAGGTTTGACAGGTTTTTTTCTATACAAACTAAGGGTCTCTGATTAAATTACAATTTTGTGGATTTTTTTTCTCCCAGACAGATTAAAGGAGTGAGACGTACAGTAATTATTCAGAAAAGCTGCAGAGTGTTTTTTATTGTCTTAATCCTGTTTTGTTCATTTGGCAATCATGAAAACATGTTATGGAAGCTACACATGAATCATATGTGTGGAACCTACTTTTAACTACAGTATCTCAAATTATTTTAATCTATGAATCAAATATGTCCTATTATTTCAAGGCTAATCAGATTCTGAGGTTTGACAAGAATTAAAGGTACACTCGTTTTCATTCCAGTGTGTTTCTAGTAGTGGTAGCCATGGTAATATCTTTGTTCTGGCTTAGAAGAAGCTTGGGAAAGTGTAAAGGAAGTTTTTATGTAGCCAAGARTGTCTGATGAAAATTAGACTTAAAGGGAAGACCTGAGCACGATATAGTGATCTTAGTTTAAACTAGCTGGATGCTTATTCTTCCTGGCTTCCCTATTCCCTAGGAAATAACGAAAGTACTTTTTCTTGTCATTCTTTGGCTAYGTTGTGGGAAAGTTAGAACTCCAGAGATCAACAGTAATAAATTCCTGTGATTTAATTGCTTATTACTTGCTTTGTGCAATAACTGACAACCAGTATGTCTCTTTATGTCTTTCATCCTGTTCCTTCTGACATCAAACATACGAAGTCAAAGCAAAAATAGTGAATGAGTGACAACTGTCTCATTCTAGTTACAGACATTTCTTTCTGAAATGATTCTGAGCTATTGCCTAAAATGGCATGACCACTGTTACTCCCCAGCCTTTGGAGAACCGGTTCCAGTGGTCCCTTCCCTTTAAAACTGAGCACTGCAGGCCATGGAAAACCCAGGGCTTTGTCTGAGYCCAGACCTCTGCTCATGCCTCTGTCACATCACAGTTACCCCACTGCACCTCCATAGTTAATTACTTTTGAGGACTTTCTCATCACAGCATGAACTGAGCATGACTTTATCTGGTGACAGGATAATCTCATTACAGATGATGATCTTGTTAATGAATATCCCCAAGACAGAGCAATCTCATTATTAGCCCCCTCAGGATTTGTCACCTATGAGCCAAGGTAAGATTAGATTCCAGCTGAACATCCTCCCAAATCCTAAGGCCCTGCACCTTGCGATTGAGGTAGCAACCCTAAAGTCACCTGAACCACTGGACATATTTAATTAGGATTTTTGTCCCTAAGTACTTCTGGAAGTACTTCTCAGGTGAGCAATCAAGACAGGCCTCATCCCTCAGTTGTTCTGTGGAACAAACAGAGCACAGTGGCATCGAGGACAAGAGGAACAGTGTGGCTTCACCACACCAACAGTGTGGGCAGTACCAGGAAGGGAAGTGAACTGTGTCCCCTTGGCAGTGCCCCCTCCAAGGAATTGCTGTGCCTGCAAGTCCCAGCTCTGCTGCTCTACAGTCAGGCCTTCACAACACTGGGTCATTGCCCAGCATCATGTGTCCACAAAACCCTGAAAACTGTTACCAAGAAAAACATCCAGCTAGTTAAAAATCAACCTGATTTTCACTTTTCTTTTCTTTTTTTTTCCACTGGGAATGTGAGGGTGGAACAGTGCTGTACTCTAGTACAGTACAGGTTTCTACTCTGCAGCAATGAGCTGTCAAACTGGCTCAATGGCCTGTGGAACCTCAGCCTGAGAGAAGGGTTCAGTCCTAAAAATCTAATAACAACACAGGGCTTTTTAACARAAATGTCACATTTATCTGAGATAACTGTATTTACTGAACTGTTTTATTAAAAAATGTTTTAGAATATTTACTGTTTTGCATGGACTCATCCAAGGGAAATGTCAAGGAACATTGACATTCAAAGCATTCCGACTACTATATTTTCAAYRTGCAGGGCTGTGTTTGTACACARTGYTTTGCAGACACACAGATAGGTGTGRTTTTTATCAAATCCAATGATAAATGAGAGCAAAGAACAATGGATACAAGGGTGAGCATTACTGAGATGCTAATTTTCTAAATTATCCAAACTGCAGTGCACCATTGCTCCTAYAGTGTTAATAAAACCCATGCTAGATGAGAGATTGGCAATGCAGAAAAGCAATACATTTTCTTAATTAATCTAGTGGATAGCAGGAACCTGAACACTAAATCCACTCATTTGATTTCATTAAATCTACTATAAAGGTTAAGCTGCACTTTAGCATTGGCTCTAGACAACATCTCTCAGCAGAGTGAGGTCAAGGAGATCTCATTCAAARAGGAGCAGCTTAGTAAATGTTTGTGAGAATGGGCCTGATAAACAGGTCTGTTTTAATGACAAAGCTGGACACACCAAATTTTATTTTACCTGCGCTTTTCATTAGATGCATGTTTTGGAGAGATCACAGAGAATTATACAAAGTTAAATCTCAATTTAAAACCCTAAACAACCCTGCTGTCAGGGGAAAGTCAAATCTCAGACTCCATTTACTTGGAAACAGCATCAGGGTCAGTGGCAGAGCAATCTGAAGAAACTTCAGGGGCCAAAGAGTGCCCTGTCTATTCTGGCTGAAAGAGAGGGTCAGTGGGAGCTAAAGCTAAAGGTGGGGAGGTGTATGGCTTGGCACAAGCAAACTGTACAAGCAAGAGGATGGACACTGGTCACGCTCTGGTAGTGCAGGGCAGGGAGCTGAAGAGGAAAAATCCTGATGGGTCCCTTCCACCTCAGCATATTCTATGATTTTATGGCTTTATTATTCTCTGATTCTATTAAAAAGTTGAAGTGACCACAGCATTTTCTTTGCTCCCAACTGGGCAGTCACACCTGTTCATGGAGGAACATCCTCTGTATCCCATCCACTGTCCCCACCTAGACTGAAGGCACACTGAATTGCAGTCTGCTCCCCAGTATGCACCGTGGTAATACAAAAATATATTGTGCTTTGAATTCATTTAGAAAAGAAAAAGAAAAGGTACTTTTTCCAGGTAAAGAAAGGATTGTATTACAAAATTTCCCCTTAGTGTTTTTAATTTCAAAATTGTGGCCCTATTTCACACAGGAAGGGGTGAAGGGGTTGAGCAGATTTTCTTCAGAGGTCCATTCAAACCTCAATTATTCTGTAAAATTATGTGCAGAGTTTCATACACAGAAACTGTGAACTGAGCCATCACATGTGTAACTTGTGTAAAACTGTCCCTGGAATTTCAGGGAAAAGTCAGAATTCAGTCCTCAGAGCCTGAGCTTGCCATTTCCTTCCAGTAACCAGGRTCTGACCTGGCACTTGGAAAACACCCCTTCAGACACAGAGACAACAGCTATAGTGTTACTGGCAAGCTTATAAAAGCACTGAAATGTAGATTCAGCTGCAAGAGAAACAGGCAGACCAGAATAATTCAGAAATTAGGCCTTCAGCTGCATTAACATAATGCAAAAGATACAATTTGTGTTGTGTTTTCTTCGCACAGCTTGATGTCTGGGCTGGCAGCCCTGGATGCCAAGACTTCCAGTCGATTGGGAATCATAACCGTCACTTACTACCTGTGGACAACGTTTGTGGCTGTAATTGTGGGGATAATTATGGTCTCCATYATCCACCCTGGTGGAGCAGCACAGAAGGAGAGCACTGAGGAGGGCGGGAAGCCCATCATGAGCTCTGCAGATGCACTGCTGGACTTAATCCGGTAATGACATTCATTCTTTCTGCTTTCTGAACGCAGCATTTTGTGCAGAACTGTATGAGGGAGTGTGGCCTGAGCTTAAGTTCTGAACCTAAGGATAAACATTTTGTTTAGATTGAGAAAAAAYGAAATTTCGGAAGATGATTTTTCAAGTTATCAGATGTTTATACTGGCTGTTTCTAGTAAAATTTAAATGATGGCCACCCACAACACTGGAGCAGGTTTTTTATACCACACAGGATTCCATGCAGCCTGTGAACCTTATCATCAATCCATTATTAATGTCAAGGGAGTATTAAAATGTGATATTAATTTAAATAAGAATAGACAGTTGCAATAGGCAAAACCTTAAATAAAGGGGTGAAATACATGTTTTTCAGAATATAACTCTTAGAAGTGTTGTTATCACTGTGCATACCAAGCTGCAGATAAAGGATATGGTTAGGAAGACCACTGTTGAGTATTTTTTATCCTGCTTTGTGAATTTTTCTTATTTGTTTTACTTTGTTTGGCAAAAGGCACARTTGTTCTTTTAGAGTAGCATTAGGACAGTGCTGGAATTTGATCACCTTGCCTGAAATCCCTACCTGTCCCAACATTTCAGGTGCTAGTGGGATTAGTTCATTGACTGAACGTACTCTGTGCCTCAGATTTATTTTGCCTATGCAGAAAGACCAAGTTTTGCCTTTGTTTGCTAGTTGGTGATCTCATACTACATCRGGCAAGGGCTTTCAGGCCAAGTGTGTACCTGTACCACAAAGATTTCTCTTTGGAGTTCAACTTACTGAAATGAAAAAATTGCAGTTCTTCTTTCAAAACCCCAAATTTCTGGCCCTGAGAGCATGTCAGCACACAAAGTACTTTAATTTGTTTGGACATCAAATCAGAAGGAAGAGGGAGGAGAAGCTTACAAAAAATATTTCTTTTTCTCCTCCAAGTTGCATTTAGCTAGGCCACCTGTATTTTTATCGATGTCTTTGTGAGAATGAACCAAATTATTTTAGTCATGGAGCAGCAGCAGAGAACACTGTCTTTTGTAGCTTTTCACAAAGCCACCATCTTCACCTCCATGGGGAAGGTACCTATCTGTGTGTCCCCAGTGACTTTGCCATGATGGAYGGATATTCAGKGGAATTCCCATGTCTRTCTRTGACATCAGGCCGAGTCACATTATYCTGGTTCTGCTGCAYAAAGGACTGTAATTCCTRCACCAAGAGCAAGTTACAGGAGCTTTGAATCCCTTGCTGTGACAGGRTAGCATAAGAAGTAAAAGAGAATCTACGAATCTGTGACCTTAAYGATTGTCTTCATAGTGGCAGTGTTTGGAATCCATTTCTAGCACACTGAGYTGTTTCTAAGGTCTYRRTCTWRGACAAGTAAAGGCACAGTGGGACAKGGGATGCAATGTCACACCCAAATTGACCTTACAGCTCTGTCTGGGATGGGTCTCCCTCACCACAGGTTCCCCCATCCCCTTTCTCACACCAGCCTAATCGCCTTTAGAGGCTCAGAGTAAGCTTGTCATGGAGATGAATCAGATGGGAAGTAATTTGGGTTTTCRAAATCGAAACTCAGTTCTATACTATCAGTGCATAAAACCACCAAATGTAACCCAAGATGTGAGTTACAACCTCATCTCTTCACTTCCACCTGGCTACTCCCAGACATGTCATGGTGAGGTTTGGGAACACTTCATTGCACTGAGCCTCACTGCAGATAAAAAACATGTCCTGAACTAAATATTTGCAAGAAATTATCTTCTATAATTTCACCCTCTACAAATCATAATAACTTGTGTGCACGTTTCAGGGATTCAAGTTTCCAAGCAGGCATCTGCTTCYAGTCTGCAAAACCTTAAATTTTTCATTGGTTTGGATAGATGTCAACAATGACAAGGCCAACAAGCCCTTTCATTACTAAAGGTTAAAAGAGAATAAAATTCAACCTCCTTTTGCTGTGCTAAGCAGCAGCCACAAGTGCAATCTTTCTACCCCAAGAGCACAAACAGGTGGTTTTAGAAATAATCACACTTACTAAATAAATAAATAATAAAAAAAGAAACTGAGGAATGGGCTTTCAGCCTAGGCAAGCACTATGGGTGAAATTCTGGCTCTGCTGCAGTCAGTTGAAAGTCTCTTAGATATCTGTGTGGAAGCCTGGATTAAACGTAATGATGTATCCGCTGGTTTGAGCTAGAAAAGCTGATCCTTTAGCTCAATGATAAATCACTTCCATTCACAGCTGGGAACCATTCTTTCTCGGCCCAGATTGGCTTATCTTCTCAATTCATTAATTTCCTCTCTATTTATCAATTGCATATGTGCCCAGAAGTTTACACAGGAAACATCTGGTATTCTGCAAATGAAGAATGCTAAATGTACAAGTGGAGAGATGATATATGTGATATAATTGTGGGGTTTAGTTTAAAAGCATGAATCTTGGCATGGGGATACATGTATCCATCCTCATTGATTTCAGATTTGAAGCCACTTTGAAATKATGAAAACCATTATTATTTCTTGAGATGTTATACATGACATTGTCAAGTCTAAACTTTTTGGAAAGGATGTTACTAGAAAYTGAATTTTTGTGTGAGGATTTTGCTTTTACAAGTGGTTTTAATTAGAAATTAAAGAATGTATTGAATCAGCAAGAAATTAAGCCAAAAACTAGTGCAGACCCTCATGATTATCCTAAACTCTTGCAACAATAATCAAAAACCACATTATTATTATTTTGCCTTATTTTGTAGATGGTGCTTCTCTTGTATATTTGTCCATTATATAAAACAAAACAAACATACAAAACATAAAACAAAACAAGAACAACCAAAAAACACCACAAACAAACAAACAAAAAAAAAMCAGCAATGAGGAGATAAGAGTGACATTGTACAGCATAATTCTGAAATGGCTCTAAACCTCACATCAGCCAGGAAATACATAATCTCATCAACAATCTGAATTTCATGCCTCAAAAATTGTATCCACGGTTCAAACATTTTTTTGGCCACTTTAAACAGCAGAACTTGAAAGAATTGCTGTCTAAAGGGAGTCCCAGGAGACTGGGACAAGAATGTTGTGCTGCCTGTGGAAGATGCCCTTTTAACCAGGAGGTTYCAGTGCAGGAATCTCCCTTTGCATTAACCTGCCCCTCTGTATCTGATCCAGACTAAGGAATAGTTCAGGAGGCAGCTGTGACTCCAAAGCTGTGCAGGAGATGCTGTCCTGAAGATGCTTCTCTCTTCAGCCACCACTTTATTGCTGCATTGAGACAGATGTACAAATCTGCCCTCATTTTATTCTAGGTTTCTGCTGCAAGCACTGCAAGGCCTATGAAATAATTTTTTTTTCCATTTAAAACTCTATATAATCCTCAGGCTAAGGATCATGTTGTTTTAAGCACCTGGTTCTTTATGAGCTTTTATGGATTCATTCTCATGATGTGCAATACTTCAGTGAGGTGGGCAACGACCATTTTTCTTTCTAATAGCTAGAGAACCAAAAGATATGGAAAAGAAATCACCTCACTGGGGGTTGTTCAGAAAATTCTGTGGGGCCAGAAGAAATAYTTCCAGCTCATACAAGACCTGGTAGGGTTCTTGTTGTAGGAATGTGGTTTTAGGGCRTATCAATAGGAAACATTTTTGCTTTCTTCTTCCCGTGGGTTTTAYTTAAATAACTTTATACTTTGTCCCCCAAAATAAGAGTGATATTAGCCTTTTATGAGTTAAGAAATTAAGAAACAAAAGATATCATTTCTTACAAGTAATTCAGATTTTGAGTGTTTCATTCAAAAGGACAAAAAGTGACGTACTTACAGGAACAGAGTTAAATTTAAAATRTTAGGTTTGTTTAATTTTGCAGCATAATCACGTAACTAGGAGAATTGAAAATGCCTATAATTTGGGGCCAAACATTTGCAAAACACTTCTGCAAGCCAGGACCACACTGTTTACATTAGCAGTTAATATTTTCACTACATCTGTTACCTTTGATTTAGAAGTGGAAATTCTGCCACCCGCATTTGTCACCAAGAGAAACAAAATTCGGCTTATGAGATCAAACAAACAAGCAAACACCATAAACACTCACATGAGGAGACAAAGCCCAGCCCAGCTGTGTTCTCCCTCCTGTTTTATATCAGGCTGACTGCAAATCTGGGCACCAGCAGGTGCAGCGTTCATACACATCATTGGTTTTTCTCAAGTTTAACAAGACATCATGGCATTGTAAACTTATTCAGCTCAAAAGCCCCAAATAAACCAATTYAATGAATGCAGACAGGATCAAATCAAACCTTGATCCATGAGAAATAAATTTGTACATTTCTAAAGTTTACTGGAAGGAGAAATCAGAGCATTTTACCTCCAAACATTCAGGATTTCATCCCATTTAATAGCAGGTACCCTGAGAATCAATTTGGCTTAACCAAGAGAGGGTTTATTTTTATACCATTAAGAGTTAGAAGAGGATATAAACACTGCAGAGGATTTATGTTTTCACGAGCCTCCTGAGCACTCTTTAAAATCACTTCCTTTCTCTTTTTTCAAGCTAAAGGCTATATTCTATATAATTGAAATTGTGTTTCTTGAAAATAGGGCAGGAGGAAACTAGTATCTATTGTAGTTTGGAAAATGTCCAGGCTGTGCAGGATCAGAAATCTCACCTTTAAAAGTTTCTCAGTGAAGACTGAATTGTATGTAGACACAATAAGATATTTAAAAGAGCATTAAATGATCCAGGTTTAAATTATGAAAGAACAKTTTAAAATAACTATGCTGTACATTAATGTGTTCTTTTGCCAAAAGCCACTAAGAACAATGACAGAAATACTGCTCTGTCCCCTATGGCGAAGTACCATTTTTTACTCATTTCAGATTGCCAGTTTTCTTTTATCTCACAAAACCAGCCTGGTTGTTTGTTTGGTCTTTCTGGATTAAATTTTGTCCTTGCTTTTAGCAGTGCAAACYCTGCTGGAGCCCCTGACACCGGCAGGAAGGTATTTCAGATGTATGACTAAGGACAGGATCTGTAGCTCGTGTAACAGTAGTGAGSAGTCTACATAGCTGATGATGAATTCATGCAGAGGACATAAAAAACAAACACATTCTTGAGATTAAGGTACTGTCATTGAGAAGGACCTAGCTTAGAAAATAGGAGCTGTTCAGTGCTGTTCATTCTTGGGAAAACTTGAAAACTTTACAGTTTTCATGTCAAGCTATTCAGGCGCTGGTTTTGCTCTCTGTACCCTTGCTGTGTAGAGTGACAGGGTAATGTCTCAAACACTTAAATATCAGAATACTGTCAAATCTCCAGTCTTAAAACAATGTTCTTGAAAGCTCAGCTACACCGGCTCAAATTTGAGAGCAGAGTGTCCAAAGCTGCTTTATGCCTCGTGCAAATATAGGCCAATAAATATTATGAGGACACATGTAGCAAAACCCCCAGTCTGGTGGATTTAATTCCACAGTGTGGGAGACTGCAGCCAGACTGTCTGGTGTGGCAGGGATTAGGTGCTGATAACATCAAAGTCTGAGAGCAAAACCAGATTGGAGCTACAGAGGGAAGGGGCGTTCTGAGTCAAGGAAACAACATCTGCCGTACCTGTGCCAGCTAGAGCCGCTGGCCTCATTTCTGACTGAAAGGATCTGCAAAAGCTGAATGCTTTGAGTTAATGACGCTGTAGTCAGGACTCTGAATGAGTATTTCAGATATTCAGTAGCATTGCTGAAACCAGAATCTGGCCTGTTATTTCTAACAGAAATTATCCAGGAGATGTGAAACAAGCTGTCCCAGAAGCTGCAGGCTCATCTCCTCTGCACAGTTCCTTAACAGCATCACAGGAACCCACATTAACAGTGCTGCTTTTTGTGTCATTACTGTGTCATTAGACACATCATCCTGTGTCTAATGGGAAGCTACCCCTCAGACCTGCTGCTCAGACCATGCACTTGATACAAGTCTTMAAGATTTCCTCAAAATCCATTACTACCAAATTGCAGAACACGTTGTTTCATATTACATGTGATACACGTTCCTAATTCAATACATCTACATCTSAATCCTCTTATCCCAAGCAGAATTAGGGACAGGCTCCAAAATTTGCTCRTAGAAAGCAGCAGCCTGTGCATCCCAGCAGGCTGCAGTCAAAGGCAGTGATTTGTAGGTCACTTGTGCGTATGTGCAGCAAACGCAGGCCAGGCCTGCTGTGCCAGCTGTGGCTCAGTAGCTCAGGTCTGTAGATGGTTCACTGAGCTGAAATTGAAGTTGTTTGATGCACATTTACTCTTTTAGYCTCAGTTGAACACTCCTGCTCTATTTGGCAGAGTTCATGAAGCAGAAGATACTCTGGGAAGTTATTCCTCAGGGCAGGCAGTATTTAGCTGTTAATTTTTTATGTAACCAGAAAGCCTATGTCTCAGTTTCTGTTTTACAATGATATCCTTGTCTCAGACCGAAGTTCATCTATGTTTTAAACCAGACTCAGTCACTGTCATGCAGTAGATTTAATTCCCTATTCTTTTGTGAAATTAYTTCTGCTAGGAATGCTGAATTGTTCCACTGAGGTTAGAGACAATGTTGCTTGTACTAGAGAAATGAATCCCAGATCACATTAAGTTTCCTGCACTATTATTTTGTGTCCTGTGTCTTGTAAGCAATCTGAAAGCAATGMTGGAACTTAAGGAGTATTTTATTTGCTTGGCTTTCTTAATTGATCAAACACGACAGTATTTATAGGTGCTGACAGCAATGATTAGCTCAGTTTGAATCATTGCTTTGTATCTTTAATTCAATATACATCCATGCGTGTTCTGAGCAGAGGCACAGCCTCACTTTACAATCCTGGTACCAGATCCATGTGGGTACATCTGGATCTCATCCAGAGCTGCAGTAATGCTGACAGAGATCTGCAGGGGCCAATCTGGTGGCAAGCTGGGTGCTTGGAACATTGCTAGGCAGAGATGGACAGGCTACAACGCTCTGCCATTAATTTTGTCATCTATTTGGGCAAGTGCACGTGTCTGGAATTTGAGCCAGACTGAAGCTCCCTCTCTGTAGCATTCCCCAGGACTCTGGTGGCAGCAAACCCACAGGGGGCCTGCCCCAAGGCACTTGTGAGGATCCAGCCAGCCCTCCCCATCCCAGTTCCATACTAAAAGGTCAAATCCTCCACTACCACTCACTTCAGTCTCTTGTTCCRAAACATTCCCAGGAGATCCTTGCTAAACATCCAGCTCACAGCTGGAAATATCAATGTGCAGCAAAACATACCCCTCAAACAAGAAGTGTTTCTGAAGGGGCCTGACAGAACCAAGAAACCCTCCCAGACACCTCCAATCTCTAGGTGGCAGTTTGATATTTTCTTCTCTTTTTTTTTTTAGTCCATTCAAGTTCTCATCCACCAATTGCTCTCTTAAATGTTTTTAATTAACAAAACTTAATTGTRGCTAATACTGGATTTTCTCAATCCAAGTAAACCAGCTTAAAATAAAAAATAAGCYGAGGCTCTGGCAAACACATTCAGGTCAGCCTTTCGCTGGATAAATTGTGTAACTTTGGTAAGGCTAGTCTGAAAGACTGGATCACAGTGCATAATATATTAAAAACTATTGGGAGAATTCCAGTATCTAGTATTAAGTGGGTAGTTGTAATTCCTGCAGGATAAAGAATGATAAAGAAACAAAATGCTTTAATCCTCTACAAATTTGTCTAACATTTAATCTAGCTACTAACCATATGATACTTCCTTTCGCAAGCAGTCTTAATTGTTCTTAATTCTACTAATTAGGAGTAGGAGGGAGAAAGTGAAAATGATCAGCAATTAAATTCATGTTTCCATGTAAAGTCACAGCTTGTACGTGAGGTGCATATTCAGAGCTGTGCTGGAATCTCATGTGGATCTCTGTTTTCAGAATATTTCACATTCACATTTAACTGTGCTCTCCCATAGCATCTTTCAGCCCAACATCTCAAATCACAAAACAAAGACAATTTAATATTAATGAAGCCTTTAACAATCTGGAAGCAGAATTCCCTTATAAGGCACAATAAAGCAGTGACCATCTTTCCTCTCCAGTGCTTCCCCCTGCTATAAACATCCTCTCCATCTTCCCAGGTCCAGCTCCATCCAGCTGTTCCTCAGGTAGTTCCCTGTGTTAGACAAGCCCCAGGGCTCAGGCAGAAGGTTGTGTCTGCATCTGACAGTGAAACAATGCACAGCAGTTTCCTTGTCTGTATCTTGCTTTGGCTACGGATTTGACATCTGAACCAGAGAATYAGCAGCTTCATGGATGGTTTGCAGACACAACCTGATGCCTTTATGTGGCTCTGCTCTTGTGCAGGAGGCCAACAAACCCCTCTCATGTTCAGTCTTCTGTCTCAATCATTACACAGTGCTACTATCCATTCATTAAATTTTTTCTCCCACAGTTCTCTCTAGAAAGGATAATTAATTATCTCTTYGTAGCAATTACTCTCAGTGTTTGATGCTACTGATGCAGAAACTACCTCATATTTTTCAGTGTGACCATAATGTCATGTTATGATCACCTTAAACAGAAAAAATTATGTCTTCTAAGCCAGTGCTGCACAGTGGCTCCATTAGCAGGAAGYTGCTGCAGAGAGGAAAGCAGCTCAGGAAAATGTCTCTGCTCAGCATGCATTTAACTGTCCATGCACACAGCAATTTCCTTTGAAATGAGAATAGGCTTTTCACATTTATTGAAGTGTTAACATGTCTTGGGGTTTAAGCAGGACTTTGAATTCAAAGTCATTTTGTTGGAGAATTCAGGAGTTTCTCCTTGCATATATATATGTATATTAAAGGAGGTAATTGGGTCATAGACTGTCACTGTCTTCTGTCCCAAGGTTCAGAAGCTTRGGGTTGGAAATAAATCAGTCCTGAAAATGATCCTATTAGARTCATCACACAGATCTTGATTCCCAAATGCTGCACGGAAATGTATTACTTTTTAGCTAATTTTCCCCAATTATAGTATGATTCCTCTTTGAAGCCTGTAGAGGGTGTGCTCTCCATTTCAAATTAGAATTGAATGTCTTTCTGCAAAGTAGTATGCAGCTCAAACTGAAGTTATGAATTAGCTCCAGATATAATTGTRTGAAATGTTACAGACTGCGATACACAGACAGTCAGAAAAGGTGACAAAAAGAGTCCCTTTTGGAATTAAAAAATCTATTGGTCTCACTGCAATCTGAGTGGTTTTGGTCATTGCCTTCCTCTTTAGCTCAGCTGAGAGCAAAGATGAAGCCACTGGYCTYAYTCAGGTTCTTGTTCTGAAGCYTCAGAMCYRTATWAAAATAAAATTTTGCASASWSTAYASMKCTMWAMWCTYTTWWWCAGGAATKAGATCCTCTTTTTGAAAAGCAAACTGTTCTTTAAAAAACCAGTCCAAAGGCTACATCGCTTGCAATTTTAGTGACAAAAAGGTATCAGGGGTACTACAGTTCAGGAATTAGCACCATTAGAAGTACCTAGAAGTCCCACAGTAGATTACAGCACCCAGATGTCTCAGSAATACATCCCTGACTGTCTTGAACAGCTCAGTATCTGCATAGGGAAGACAAAATATGGAATAAAAGTATATTCATCCCCCAGTCAGCAGATAGGGAAGAGATTCATAGGAATTATGACACCCCATGTTACAACATGGACACTGTGGCAGAGCAGCCAGAGCTCCTGGGTCTCAGCCCAGGTGTTTAGAAGCRAGTCCCAAAACTTCCATTGTGAGGAGCTGCCTCTCTGCTAAGCCTTGCTCAGCCAGGCCCAGCTGTGTGGCAGAGTGGGAGGGACTGGCATCCTCTGCTCCTGCCCAGCCCTTGCTCTCCAGGAGGGCAAAKAACTGATTTATCATGGGAGACCCAGCTCACAGTAAAAAGAAGTTGATTTCAGTTCATAGAAATTATTCTTCTATTTGTTCATTTTTAGGAACATGTTTCCAGCCAATCTTGTTGAGGCCACATTCAAGCAGGTAAGTGGCTATATTCCTTTTACTGATGAAAGATGAGCCAGCATCAGATGAAACATTTATTTTTTAGAACACAACCCAGATACAGACATGACATGTGGCTTCAGACACTGATAGTACCTTGAGCACTTAGGAATTCATGAGTCCCATTCTGTTTCTTTTTTGCCATGGTATCTGAAGGCAAAACAGGGATGAAGTGCTCTCTGCTGTGACTAGAGTAGACATGCACTCTTATGTCAGCTCCAGATCCATCTGAGCAGAGATAGAATATCTTTAAGAGCGACACCACACAAAGGAAGAACAGAAAATACCATGTGCAGTTAAAGCAACAAAATAATGCACTGGGGAAGAATCTAATTACTCAGATTGGAATTTGGCCAGAAAAGCTCATCTTAAAGTTCTGAATGAGCAAGAGGCATGGGTGCATTTATTTCATCTGGGGGAATATTTCATGAAAACCTCACGGATAGAAGGGGACTCAGAACCTCTAGGGAGTCATTCCTAATTATGTCTTATAGAAAAGTAGCTCTGTCAGCAGRCAAAGTGTTTGCTGCACTGGGGTCTGATTATAGGAAACTCTGGTTTTGTTATGCTTTTCCAAAATTCAACTGTTTTTACATATTTTAGCAGATAGGGACAGGAATGTCCATTCTTCTTTTCATGCCTGTCCCTGTAACATGCAGCCTTGTAGAAACAGAGCACTAAGGAGGGTTCATTAAACTATTAATTCCTGCTGGGATATTGCAATAAAAACTACTTTGTTTTCTTTCAGTATCGCACCAGGAGTATTCCCATCATTAAATCTAACAAAGCAKCATCTGAAAGCACAACTCGCCGCATTATAATATACGGAGTCCAGGATGAGAAYGGATCCAATGTCCAGAATTTTGCCTTGGATATCACTCCCCCTCCTGAAGTGATTTACAAATCAGAGCCAGGCACTAGTGACGGCATGAATGTGCTGGGGATTGTGATWTTCTCTGCCACAATGGGTAGGTTTCAGACATGTTTTGTTTGTAATAATCCAAGTGTCTATTTAAGAGAAAAGGATTGAGGTTGGGTTGCTTGGTTTCTTGGTTCAGCTTTTTTTAACTGCTTCTATCTAAACTGTGTGGGGAAAAGGCAAGACTGTTGTAGAGCTGTTCTCCCACTCTTTTGAAGATAAATTTGCAAAATCCGTGATTACTTTTGTTCCATGGAGTTGTGTTTTCTGCTAGAGATGGTRCCAGTGGCTAAACATTTGAGATGTCAGATCTTTTTTCTTGAAGAACACATTRTTTATTCATTACAAGGGAAATGTTTGCACCAAAATGGCCCTTGGTACATCARGTCTCCAGGCAGGAGGCCCCCGTTGTGCCCTGTCTGTCCCCACATGTCTAGGTAGGACAGTGTTTTAAGAAGAAGATTGCAGTTCCTGTAAAATTAGGAAGGAGACATATCTTCTTTTTGGCATCATGCAGATTTCAAAGGCAAGACTCTTGTGAAGCAGCCCCTGACCAGGCCTGAAGAGCTGAACTACAATTAATGTCCTTTTACCAAAGATGAGCAGCATGCTTAATGAAACAGTGTTGTCTTCTGATTTAAAAGTTATGGCTTAGATGAATATTTAAAGGCTTAAAATCTCACATCTTGAGTGCACTGTTACTGTAAAATCCCTGCATAAAGCAGCTGAAAGCCTCTCTCCCTGCACACAGTGGATGGCCCTGGAAGCTGCACTGCCTGAGATGGCTCCGAGCTGTGGGCTGCAAGGAACAGAGCCCGGGCTCCTGCTCAAACAAGGACACTGCACATTCAGAGCAAGTGGCAGCACACACCCCTGTGCCACCCCCTGCTGTCCCAGGCAGTTCCCCTCAAGGCAAACTCCCTTGGTGCAGTCAGTTTTTGAAGTGCTTCCTGGAGCAATTGACTCCATCACTTATAAACCTTTCAGGGCAGATAATTAACTACAGGAAAATGTCATCTATTTATATGTATTAATGGAAACTAACRCTGTCTGGAGAATATATGGCTAGATGACACATCCCAGAGCTGGATTCATTTCCTTTCTGAGCACTGGGGGCACATAAATGGGTTATATTTGCTTTCTTCTTTACTGGTTAGTATTTATACCAATCTGGCCTTTCTCCTCATGAATCTGCATTTCCTCACCTCCCTGAAAATTGCAAAGCCTGACTGATTMTAAAGGTTAAATATTATCTAGTTGYCAGATAAAACTACTAAAAATAAGATGAAGACTTCATTACTAACTCCCCATCACCAGAGCAAACCTCAAAACCTGGGCTTGCCTCCCAAGTTCTCATGGGTACTGCCCAGCTGTAGGCAGAGACCGCTTYCTTCACTAGAAAATGCTTCCCAGTTTGTTTCTGTGGATCACTCAGAGCAGGTAAATCCCTCACAGRGCTCTGTGACAGATGGTTAAGGACACAGGCTTGCTACCACAGCTCTGACTAACAGCAGGGAGGGAAAGCACTGGGGCTGTGTGTGAAGATACCTGAGAAACTGAACCTGAATGCTTTGATTGCAGGTATAATGTTGGGAAGAATGGGCAACAGTGGCGTTCCTTTGGTCAGCTTTTGCCAGTGTTTGAATGAGTCTGTCATGAAGATAGTGGCAGTTGCTGTTTGGTAAGTAACTGTTYTAGTGAGAAAATGAGGAAGTAATGTCAAGTCTCTGGAGATGTCACAGCTGCAAGTGGAAGATGGCTGGATGTCCCCAGATTTTTTTAATTTTTTTTTTAAATCTAAAGGTTTTTGGTACCATAGCTTTGTATGTAGCTGTGCACAGAACCACAACGGTTTTGATAAAGACCAGAGTGGATTCAGAAACTAACAATTCWTCAGCCTATTTATCTGCCCCAAATAAAACCTCCAGGCAGTCAACGAGCATGTCTAATATATGTTGGTGTTCTTCCCCTGACTTCCAAAGGCAACATAAACGTTTACTTAAGGGCTTCCAACTAAAATCCATGAACAGTTACATGARCACAAACACATGAGAGGAGCTTWGCATTCACTCCTCCTYTTYCTGGTCATTTACCTGCCTGAAGCTRAAGTCAGAGCTGCCTTCTGACCCAAAACATTTTAAAGTCCTTCCAGCCAGCACCACAGGACCCCACAGGAAAAAACTGTTCAGCCTGGTGCTCTGGGCACCCTTCTCACACTGGAGACAGAAGAGCCAAACACAGACAGTGCTGTTTCTGCACTGCCTCTGGAAGGATTTCCCAGCTCATACTGTGTGATGGAGCTGATAATAATTGTCTTTTTTTTTTCCTCAGGTATTTTCCATTTGGAATTGTGTTCCTAATAGCTGGCAAAATCTTAGAAATGGATGACCCCTCAGCCATWGGGAAGAAGCTGGGTTTCTATGCCATTACAGTGGTGTGTGGCCTGGTGGTGCACGGGCTGTTTATTCTGCCAATGATGTACTTCTTCATCACCAAGAAGAATCCCATTGTCTTCATCAGAGGGATCCTTCAAGCCTTGCTCATTGCTCTGGCCACGTCCTCCAGGTATTACATAAATAAAATACACAGATCCAATAAAACACTTGCTAGACCCTTACTACAGCTACCTCTTGGGAAGAGCACATGACTGTTGTAATGGAGCGTATCCGAAAAAAAGGTCTGTGTCCAATTCACTGSTATAAATTTAAAAAATGTGTGTCTCAACATTTCAAAGTTTTGTGGGAGCCATTGGACAATAATGTTTGCCACATTGTTTTCCCTTGGTTTAAATAATATTGGAAAAAAACATTTTCTCATAGAGGACTAGAAAGGAAATAAGTTCTTTTTCCAAATARAAAAATATTGTTCTTCTACAAAGTTAATATACATATGAAGGACAAGCAGTTTGTCCGAACTTCATTTCTGGTATTAGTGGGGAACCTCCTATTTCAGTCATGTGGAAACATTTTATCCTTTCTACTCATCTCAGTCTTTGTTTCTTGGTATATTAAGAAAAGACTGTGGTTGCAAGCTATTGTCCAGCACTGGGAAAGTATTTAACTGTTCTTCTCAAGGAATAATATTTTTGTACCCTTTTCAGGGAACATGTACAATAGGTTTTAACCATAGCTGAACAAAGGTACAGTCAAAATGGGAACCAGCTCGTGAACTGGCTATGAAATTACTTCCAGCATGGATTAAATGGTGCATGAGATGTGCCTGAAAGCACTGGAATGGCTTTGCMTGGAGTAGAGACAAGAATGATAATTAAAATAACATTTCTGTGTACCTGATATGACAACACAGTTTCATGATATCTGTGGCTGAAGGAATGTAGAGGATTAAAAGGAGAGGAGGGAATTAATATTTCAGTGCAGAAGGTACTGGATTTCCACAGACACATTTAGCTCTGAAATGACCTGCAAAGAGCAGCATAGTGAGAAATACAAAATCAAGAAAAATTACATGGTCGGTGGTGTTAAACTCTAACTAGGCTTAAAAAATTAAAGCAAGCTTTTTTATTAGAGCATGAGAAGTTTGTAGCTTGAGAGGCTTCCACATCCGCAGATTCAAGTACGATGAGAATTTTGCACTTAAAGATATTAATATTGGAAAAGGCTCATCAGGCTCACATTTGACACACTTGACTATCTGCCCTGCTCCTCTAGGAATTCTTTCTGAAGAATTCTACTGCTGACAACTCCATTTTTTAATCTGTGCCATTCCTTTCATTCTCTCTCTCTTTTTTCTGGAAAGAGATAACTTCTACTGAAAATCTAATCTGAATATTTCTCTTCTTAGAAAAAAAAAAAGAAAAAAAAAGAGGATACTTTGGTCCTTATTTTATCTTTAGCATATATAGAAGAGTGTTCCTTTCCCCTTCTTTTCTGTTAATAAGCAACAAAAATGTCCAACATTTTCATGTGTATGGATATTTTTAACAGAGGACATTTAATAAAGACTTAAAAGATCAGTACATATTCAAAACATACTACTGTCCCTAATTTTTCATACTTTCATCAGCATTGGATTATGGGTTTACTACCAATTTAARAATTCTTTACTCATCTAAAAACTGATGAGAGAGAGGTGTCTGTCTCTGCTGAGCCTCTTTAAGGGAAACCAATCCTTACTTGAGGTTTTCTCCAGCCCCTTCTCCYTACCCCAAGTTGATGTGAGAGTGCCACTGACAGTGGGGAATGCACAGGGAATTCAGCTTTCTCTTAAACCTGTGCTGACTGTGACTCTCCTGGGCTCTGACTCCCAGGTAAAAGCCTGCCTCTGGGGATATCAAATGCTTTAAGACAGCACTTTCTCCCTCCAGCTGTGCAAGGAATGATTATTTATAGGCCCAGAGAGGGGGTAGTTTGGTATCAGAGCTCTAGCACCAGCTGGCAGCTCAGCCTGTCACCAGAACCACCAGCAGGACTTGCTACCAGGTTTAGTATCTTTATTGACCCAAGCAAATGTAGCACCAAAACTAAGGGGAGTCATGAGAAAAGGCTCTGAACATAGGGATTTGGGACAAGGGCATGTTTGGATTTAGCTGTTTCTYCCTCCTTAAGAGTGTGTATATTTTGCAAATCCAACACAGGCCCAACGTGGTTTCTAATGTTTTTTTCTGCTCAAATGTCTTGTCTAGAGATGGCTGAACTTTTCACCTTTGTTACACTGAAAGGAATGGATACTGCACATAACTGAGCTGTTGCCAAAAGAACATGCACAAATAATTGGGGCTGGACAGGAGAGCTGCCTCTCCTGACAGTCCACACATCTGTATTTGGTTAAACAAGAATTGCCACAGGGGCATTATATAACACTTGTCATGTGGGTATTGGATTTTCAGATCATCCTAGAGGGGAACAAAGAGTTGATTTTAAGAATACTGATGTGTTTCTTGGRGATGTTTCTGTGTTGGTTCAGGTCTACATCTAAAGACACAAAGTATCCATGGGTCAGTGTGCTGATAGTCATTGCAGACAKTCTGCACCTGTGGAAAGCTTGTTTTTAAAACTAAAAGTCAAACTACAAGAAGCAAAAAAACAATGCCATCACAAAACCCAAGAATGTAACATTGGGTTTCAGGGGAACCTAAAAGCCATAAACAACCATCTGATCTTAATGATTTTACTGAATTCTCAGCATTACTTCAACTCRTTTCCCTTTAGTGAAAAGCTCTGCACCCCATTCTCAGTCCCCTTTTATTTTTCCAGAAATCCCAACCACAGCAATATTCTGGTTTGTGCCAATTTCAGTGGAGAAACAGAGGCGGATACACAGATCTTACTCCTTTGGTGCATCCTTTAGGAAAAATGAACGTGCACAGCTCCCCTTTCCCGCACCACTGAGGCACACACAGCACATGCTGCCTTTGCCCACCCTGCCCTGGGTGTCCAGGCTGCACCTGGGAGTTCTGACTCTGCTTTCTTTCCTCCACAATGCCYATGATCTTATCACCTCTCACCACACTGAAAAAGCAGAATTTGGCYTACAGGCAAAATTCTTCTTGATTTTAGCTTTCTTCATTCCAATGGCAAAAGGGAATTTTGTTTTTCTAGGTCATCTTTCCATACCATTAATGAATTAAAGCAGCATCTTTTCAGTGGTACATCCCATCAAAAGAAGCAATTTTCATCTTCTCTGAAGACAAATTATAAACCATGAGGTTTTCAAGGGTTTTGCTGCTTATGAAACACTAAKATCTTGGCTATTGCACAGTGTAAATTAAAGGCAGATTTAGAAAGGGGAGATGAGATCAGTTTGCTGATTTTTTGGAGCAAATATCAAAATGCATTTGAACGATAAGATAAACAGAGCAGGCTGAACAGCTGTTCTTGCACAGTGACTGGCTGTCTTTGTAGCTCTCACTAGTAAGAGCTTGGCCTGGGCCAGCATTAGCTTATGCTCAGKCTCTGCAGCTGCAGTATTTTATCCCAAAATTGAGATAAGACTCTGAAAATGTATTTTTAATTGTTAGAGATAATGCTGGAAGAAGATACCTCTCAGCTGAAAGCTTTGGGTCAGTTTTTAAAATACTTAACAGATTAAGATCAGTGCTTTAGAGTATTTTTCCTCCTAATAAATATTAAATGTTAGGCTGTAATGTTACTGCTCCACTGTTTAACACTAGAGAAAAGCAGCTTTCAAGAAAACAAACTTCACCTAATTTAACTAGAAAAACAAACTAGATAAATTATTTATTTGATAATTTTTTATAACATTGAAATTATATATTGATATTACTCCAGAATTACAGTAGGAGATTTTTTTCCCTTTGCCTTCTGAGAGTCACCAACAGCTAAAGCCTTAAAAAAGACACATATTTTTCTGRTGTGTGCCAGATGATATACTAGGAGTAAAAATCAACCATCATTGAACAAGACAACCTCTCCCAAGATACTCCACATAACTTCTGTCCTGTATTCATTTATATGAAACAKGTGCTGAAAGGGTAATCAGAGATGTAAAGTAGCAATTTTATAAGAGAGAGTTTAAAAAGTCTGATTGGGTGAGTCYAGGCTGAGAGAGGATATATTTAATTTCTAACATCATATGTTGCAACAGCCGATTGTGCAAAGGGAAACACACAAAGCACATAAAAGCAATTTTAGTGAAAATTGAGAAGACCACCTCTAGATCATAAATTAAATATGAGCAGTGAGTTCTGGAAAGTTTCAGCAGGAGAAGGTGTAGGTAGGACAGACATCCCATTAACTCTAAGACACACTGTCATAAATTTGAGKGAGACTACATAATAGTTGCCTGTGTTAAGAAAGGCCAAGAATTCAGGATGAGTAACTGCAGAAAGGGGAGACAATGAATAATGAGTTAAATAATTGTTTCTTGTCCAAAGCAATAGTTAAAACATCTCGAAATGCTACTCAGTCTGCTCCTACTTGCAACGACACCAGAAGTTTCAGTTCTACATTATTTGTGAGCCAAAGCCTCATCCTCTTCTTTTATAAACATTTTATGGTAAACAAGACATTCCAAATTCACAAATGACTGCGTGAAAAATAACTAAGAGAGAAATGACACCTCTTAAGCAGCTTGGGAATTATGGGGTTATGCTTTGCTGTGTTTTTCAAAGTAAATACTCATTAAATACTTAGGACTGCATGAATAAAAAAGTTTAATATACCCCAGTTACAAGASGTAATCATATTTTCATTGCCTTCTTGCCTTTCCAGGATATTTACATACTTAAAAAGAGACTTTTGCCTGGATTTTTAGGCAGTGACTACCAGTTTGTAGTAAATCATTCAATAGTAAGACTTCACAAAGTTGGAGAAAACAGAGATATCATAATGAAAACATAGCCTTGTCTTTTTTCCTTTGTGTTTCCATGGCAGGAAGTTACTTTTCCTTTCCAAACACTTTCCTTGAACAACAGCTTGCACAAATACAAAATGACAACTCCTACTCATGGAAACATTTTTTTWATGCAATCCTGCAAACCGGGTTGTCATTTCAGAGATTTTTGGAATCCCTCTGTGCTTTTATAGGTCATTTGTAATGACAGAAAGAATTTGCAGCTTCAATGTGTTATCTTCAATTAAGAACAGCTAATGGTCATTTTAAGATTGAGGCATTGGAGCCACATTGCTGATGTGAGGGACACATCAGAGCAATCTGAACTACCAAACCAAAGGAAAGCACCTGGATTTCCTCTCTCAAGGCATGTAAATCACATGAGAACAGGACAGTGAAGACCATAGTATCACCGTACCAATATTTCCCCTATAATTATCTATTTTAAGAGATAACTTGGGAATCATTTTGAAGGAGTTTGCTGTATTACATCTATTTAAATAGTCTCACATGCTGAACAGTGTATTAAAATTGGTATAACAAGAAAAGTATTTTGCCATCTGTATATTTTCTTCAGTGGTGTTATTTATTTTCCATACAAACTGATGTGCCATAAAAACTACCCCCTCACTCACTTGAATGAAGTTTCACTACTTGTGAYATATTAGTGAATGTGACACCACATGATAACATGCAGAATGTTACCAAAAGGGTGATAAAATATACAAATGAACATATTTCAGTGTGCTAGTATTTAAAAAYGTGTGCCTCTTATTGAAAATGAGAAAATGTATCACCACACAGTATTTTATAAATTGTCTCAGTTAACAAAAACAGAAATCAGAAATTGTTTTTAGGGTATGAAATTGTGAATTAAAAGTTTGAAGAGGTCAAGTTCAATTTAGAAGAAACACCACCCAAATGGTCTTATACCATTCCATTATATTCCACACACACACATTTCATTTACATATGTACACATTATTATTAGACCTGCAATTATGTGGTTGTTACATGATAACASAAGGGACGTGAGCAGATCTGTCCCAGAGAGAAAATGGGATTTTATATTCCTAAATACAGACATTTTGTCTGCAACTTTTATTTTCAGGCTGCTGTTGATAAGATCTTTGTCCAACCCCGTGCAGAAATAAAAAATTGTTTAAATATGAGGTAGGCCTGGAAGGAAACATTTTTAGAAACCATGAGAGTACAACAGTTTTCAGATATTTTAGTAATAARCTTCACAGGGTGTTGTTCCATTTTCTTGCATTTGATTGCACAATGCTTCTATGGGATTTCTGTCCCTTTTCTTCTGAAACAGAGAAAGAGAGAAAAATATTCCTAATTTTGGGGAGTAAAATTAGCACTAACTCCAGGATTTATTTGTGTAATTGTCCATATCCTCCCTCAGGAGGAACAGGTTCCCAGTAAGTGAGTTACACATGCAGAGCAAGGAATGAGAAGCAGTGCTCAGATGGCTTTGTAAAATTTCCCCTACCTGGACAAGGTTTGCTACAATTTGTTCATTCCCCAGAAATAAAAATAATCCAGTGTGTGCTCCTCTGCTGTTTTGCAGCTCAGCCACTCTGCCTATCACTTTCAAGTGCTTGCTGGAGAATAACCACGTGGACAGGAGGATTGCGCGGTTCGTGCTGCCCGTGGGAGCCACCATCAACATGGACGGGACGGCGCTGTACGAGGCCGTGGCCGCAATCTTCATCGCCCAAGTGAACAACTACGAGCTGGACTTTGGGCAGATCATTACCATAAGGTATAGACAYAAATTCCACACACTGGGATTTGCTTGCCTGCATAGAATCACAGATYGTGCTGAGTTGGAAGGGGCCCATCAGGGGTTTTGTTGAGTGAGACACGAYTCTTGTATGTAGCACTGTTCAGAACCAAACTCATCTTTGCTGCTATCAAAGGGTGCATCCCATCCATACATAGAAGGGTTGTTTCCAACTCACGCAGAGATCAGGGACTGCACAAAGAGAAATGGTACTGTTCCTGTTCAATAGATGCATGTGCACACCAGGAAATGTGCTTCTTTTTGAGGGTAACTGTCTAATTTTTGCTTTTAGGCAGTTGATCACTTCCAGCATTTGGAACATTATATTATTATTGGTCTTGAAAACACTATTTTAAACTTCACGATTGTTTTCAACTTTATGCCTGATTTGTGTCTTTAAGTGAAAGGAAAAGGTTAAAAAGTTGCAAAACTGGAAGTGGTATATCAAGTAACAGGGACTAGTGTTAGGAAGCTCTTGGAAGAGTGGGAGAAGAGGGAAGGAGGAAGGATGCTACTATCAGGGCAAGTTTTCATGAAGACATCAGATCACTCAGATGTTTTTAATTGTCTTCTCTGCTGCTTGTTAAAGCAGAAAGCTTCATAAACAACCATGGTCTCAGTGGAGAGAGTGTTATAKCTGTGTACTCCATCCTTGAAAGATCTGTAATGGATCCAAAAGACTAGAAGATCCAGCCGAACAATTACTGCCAGAAAAACTCCAGTGACTGCCAAAGAATTCCCCAGGGACTGAAACCTGCAGGTTTCCAGCAGGGAACAAATGATTATAAAAACATTCCTCATAGTCAGAGCTTTGTGCAATGTATTTGAGATGTGCCTAACTACCCACCCACTGACCTCACCACTGTCCCGTTTAAACTGCTGGGCTTTGCCCATCTTCTGCTGGACTGAAAACCTTTMTGACAAGAAGAGGAGAGTCCTGAAACTAACCCCAGATGACAGCTGAGGTTTGCTAATGGGCTTCTGGCAAAACCTGGTTGGACTACAAAAAGAAGAAATAAATTTTGCCCATATGAGTTCTTGCTTCAGGCTCACACTCTCTTTGAAAACCGTTGGAATAAGCTTGTGCTAAAATTTAGTCTTTAGTGATTTGGAATTTCAAGTTTTTTTTAGCATGTGATGCCAAAATATGGCCCAGAGCATGAGCAGAAATTACACACACTTTGAAGTAAAGAATAATAATTTTAAAAATGAAGAAGGGTGACAGTAAATTGAAAGAATGTAAGGTCTATCTTTTTTTTAGCAGAACCCTCTTTTATGTCTTAATTTTTACCCCCCATATTAAGTGCTAGTACATAAGGACCAGACAGAAGCCAAACAGTAGAAAGAAAATACAAGTGAAGATTGGAAAAATTCCAAGGAAAAAAAAAAAATATTTACAAATGAGGAAACTAAGCAGGAAGTCATGGTGGACTCAGTACTTTCAATAGCTTAATCAAAATTCTAGCTGTATTCTATAGGCCAAACCAACCCCAGACCTTGATACTTTAGGACCTGGAGATTTAAAATTCAAATATTCGTGAGCACCAGCATATTTTGCCAGAGAAAAAAGTATAGAAAAAAAATCAGTCTTGTCTACTTTGCTCACAGTTTGTAAAATGTAGGTTAGCAGTTTCTATCAATGCAAACACTGATGTAGCAGAGAAAGAGAGTACAGATTCTATTTCCATCAACTGAGCATCTTCTAGAAAGAAACATCTACATATAAGTAAATATGGAATGGAATAGCAGATGAGCTTACTTGTAAAATCTTAGTTAACATTTCTGAGTTTGTTCCCAATTAAGTCCCAAGACTTTTTGGCCTGAACTGACTAAAGAGGCAGAAGCAGTCTTGATCAGACAGCCAGTCCACAGCACCAACTAGAGAGACTTTTAATGTTCAGTATAGTTATCTCTTATTCAACTACTGAGCTTCTGTCCCTGTCTTCCTATCTATGCTCTGTTACAATGTTATTAGGGTGCTACACAAGTTAATTTTTTCAAAATGTAGTTTTAGGTCTTTCTCCTTCCCCATCACACCCACATGCTCATGTATGTTTTAGTTGTAAAAAAAGGGCTCTAGTTAGAAATACTGCTGCTGCTGTAGTGGTACACTGTACAGCTGTAAGCAAGGGACTGGATATCCCTGTGTTTCAGTTTCCATATGGGTGAATACCCTTATCCTCATTTTCCATAGGAGGTTAATGAKACTTAACTGCTTGCCAAAAGCTCTGACATTCTTGACTGATGAATGCAGAGRATTATCCRTGTAAATACTTTCTGTCATCCTTTCACAACTGTCAACATTTGTTTTTTGTCTTTTTGCTGGATGGCCTAGCTCTTGGAAGTTGCTAGATGGGTGGAAATTAACATATCCAGTCCCTTTTGCTCCTGGAAAAAGGAATTAAATCCCTCCCTTAAAAATAACATTATGAAAAAATGTTAAGCCTCCCAGGTCTACTCTTGCCCTGGTCTYCCATTCATTTCTGCTTGCCTGGCTGAAAAAATGGTGTGAAGGTCAAGYAAAAACACTTTCCAGAAACTGAAAATGTACAATCCCATTCACAGTTGCTTCATATTTAGATCCAAGTATGCAAAGCCATGTCCTGTGCAAGGGCTTCACCCCTGGCCCAGCCTCTTTACSCTTGGCCTAACCCTTGAGATGGATTGACAGTAAAGGCCCCTGGCWGGGCCAGCTGCAGATTTACCCGGCACAGGAACTGCCCAGGGTCACTGAGAGGTGTCCCCTGGTCACTCAGAGGTGTCTGGGAGCTCAACTGCCAAGGTGAAACAGCGATGGGCAGGGCTGGCAGACTCTGGGCACACAGCGTTGGATGGTGCTGTCACCCACGAGAAAGTGGCATAAATGAGAGAAGCCACAGCCTGGCTGGCCCCTCTGCTCTGCACCTTTGATACTGAGGAAGAACAGAACTGCCCCACCARTGCCAAGGCTGCAAAGGCTGAGGGTGAGCATTTAGCCCTGGGCAGACAGTTTGACCTGTTCTTGCTATCTCACTTGGTTTCTGTCCACAAAACAYTGGCACTTCCATGCAATGGCTTGTGTGAAAAGGAGGATAGTCTACCAATATGGTGTGGTTTCTTGCAGAAAGTAAAGCTTATTCCTTTCTTTCTTTGTTAAAGTATCACAGCAACAGCTGCCAGCATAGGTGCTGCAGGCATCCCACAAGCTGGCCTGGTGACAATGGTCATTGTTCTCACCTCGGTGGGGCTCCCAACAGACGACATCACGTTGATTATTGCTGTCGACTGGGCACTGTAAGTAACACAAAGCTCMTGAGGTATCCAAGGTGCCAATTTGGATTAAAAGGCAAATGGTCTCCAGGGGTACATTTATACGGATAAATGTAAAAGGCACAGGAAGTGATTACGTATTTTGAAATGGTGTCAATGTAGCTTCAGATTAAATACTTTGCTGATGTGGACATTATATTGAAAAAGACACAGACAACTAAGAGAGTCTAAATGAGTCTCAGAAAAATAACTTGTGTGGAAAGGATGAAGAAAGGGAGTCCATTTAGTCTAAAACCAGAACAGGCTGAAAAGGTCACCMCAGCAGCTGTTTACATAGATGAGATTGTCCAGAAGAGGACATTTATCAATCTTCACATTCCCAGAGAGGGAGGATGAAGACGTAGAACGAAATACCTACTGTAAGTCAGATTCCAGAAAAAACTTAGAAACAGTTTTTATCTAGAAGGATAGTCAGGYAATGGAAGTGGCTGCACCTAGCCAGCTGTAARATGATCTTCAAGACCAGTCTGAAGGTCAGGTYAGACAAAWGKGCTTAAGGTGCAACTCCGGCACCTTACCTTGGACAAGGACGAGGGGCCAACATTCTGAGGAAACCTGTTTTGGCTGCACTTTGCTTATCAGCCCACTGACATTTCAAGGCCATCACCTCAGTGTAGTGAAGCACTCTGCAAGAGGTCTGAGCCACTGCTACAGCCAGCAAGTATCACTGCCACCACTGCCACCCCTCTGCCCGCAAGAGCCATGACCACACAGTGCCCATGTGTGCTGAGTATGGCTACTACTGCAACCACGATAGTCAGCCTGAGGTTAGCACTAATAATGTCTTCCTTTCACCACGGATCCTGATGCAATTCTGTGTTCTCTGATTTCAGTGCTAAACAGGCAGCAACTGCTTGCAGCCTCCAGTTTTGCAAGTGCAGCCATTCTGTAGAGAGGGCACTTTGCTGCARCACTGATCAGGGGGGATTCAACAGCAGAGGCACGGGCTGAAACTTAACACACCGGGGATGAATGGGATTTGTGTCACCCATGAGAAAAGACACTTTAAAAATTCATAAGGAGTGGTTCATTTGAACTCTTAACYTTTATGTAAATGTCAATGAAACAATCAATTTTGAATAGTCTAGGAAGATGAATCACAAAATACTGGCCCCCAGCTCATTAGCATGTCAATTAACTGTGTAACTAGCATATGCATRCACAAGGAAATGTCCAGATTATTTTTGTTTAAGCTGTATAAAATATATCTCCTTTAATATAGGGAGTTTCATTACATCAAGGTTCTGGGTAAAAATGTGCTACAAGTACATTCTGTTATATATCCCATTTTATTCAAATTCTAGCCTCCTATTTTTTGTACAAAGAATTGTAAGAAAAAAGTTTTCCTGTTCAGTATAATGAATATTATTATTGTTAGCATTAATAGGAGTCATGAATCTTGTGTTGTATTAATATTTTAAGACTGTATTACAAAAGCCTTTTCCTCTACATTGCTCAGATTTGCCCAGCTATTGCAACATCAACATTTCATTGTTTTTCCAGTAAGCCTTCCAGCATATATGGGAATTACACTTCTTTTTGTCTTACACAACTTTTCAAAACAACAGAGAAAAAACTTTTCAGGCTACAGTTCCAGACGGTATTAAAAAGTGAGTAAGGAATAGACCCAATTTTCTGTCTTTTGCAGATGACCTTTCAAATAAAAAGTATATTTCTCTATTTCGGCACTTGGTGGTTTCAAGAGCCTGCAGATGCAATGTGTCAACATGGTTGACATGATGAATATTTTCAGTATTAGTTTTGGAAGTACTGGAGTGTGAAGAATGCTTAAAGAAGGCTGGTTAGATGATCTCAGGAGACTGAAATACCCATTAGAATGCACTGCAGGTAKTACAACTCTCTTAGGTAGCCATAACATGCTTCATACCTTTAGCTAGTGCTTAGAGACATAAAGAAGAAAATCAAAATGTTTCCCAGCTCATTAATTCAACATGAGGGAAAGTTTTGTGTCTTTAGTAATATAATCTACAGCTAAAATACCTGACTCGCATGTTTGCACTCAGAAAAATGCCACCAGCAGCAGGTTGGCCTTTCAGTGGAGAAATGTCAGTGATGTGTGGTGTGGTTCTACTGATGTGTAAAACCACTCAGAACATGGAACAGAACTGGTCAAACAATGTGCCAGGCAATCCCTTTTCTTAAGAGTTTCAGTGTGGAGCACTGARAAATTCTGTCTCCAGAAAAGATGATAATCAGAGCTCAAAAGGGAGAGAAAACTCTTGAGCTTTGCTCATATGCCTTCTTCTCTACCACAGCTGATTCGTTGCACTGTCCAAAATTCACAACACTAAATATTTTTCCAAGAATCACTATTTGATAAACAAGCAAGGAAAAAAAAAACCAAAAAAAAAAAACCAGTGTGTAACAGGAACGTCTATCAGTATGTGCTGTAACAGCTTTTTCTCCTGCTTAACATGCTCTTGTGGAAATTTTCTTCAAGGTAAAACCAAAGTGAGAACAGCAGGAATTTAAAAAATGGCTTGAGCTAACAAGTGTAGGACTGGGTCCTGGAGTCAACAGCCACGTGTAGGTGTAGGCTGTGAGTTACTTGCAGTTACACATACAATCTGGGTAACTCCACACACACACAAATCAGCTTTCATGAAGGAACCTTCATGATAATTAAGCAGGCAACTGCATAAACATTTATATGCACTGAGTACCTGCCTAAAATATCTGAAAAAAAAAATCAGCACAGAGTTTCAATTCTTTTCTATATTAAGATACAGGATCAGAAATGTGGGCAGTGTTGATATTGGACTGCCACTGACTTTAATAAGCCAAACATCTGGAGATTTCTGAACCTCCATTTTATAACCTACATTTATAAATTAAGTTACTAGYATGACAGAGTTCTCAGATGTATATGTTTTTCTTGGAAAAGACGTGATGTATTTCAGAAGCTATACCATCTATTTGAAATTTCATCARTTTTAACTAATAGATTCTGGGATGATTCAAGTGCAAGACTTCTCTTTGACAGCCAGTTATTTTTGTCTAGTTATGGTCTGAATTTTAATAGATKTACTTTTTAGACAGTGGGTAGAAAGTGTAAACAGGGAAGAAATCCCGTAAGTGAATAAATGAAAAATATTGTCAAGCATAAAAATTTAAATCAGAAAAGATAACTGAAAATGAAGAATCTTTAAGAGCTACTGCATAGCCAGCATAAGAAACAAAGCCACCACAAGATTTTCAGAAATGAACATTATTTAAATATGGCTGCTTGGTTTGAGTGTAGTTTTGTAGCAATCTTCTGAAATATTTTGAATGTATCCTGCCCATTCTACCAATACAATAATCTTTTTAAGTAGCTCTTTGGTTGCTGAGATTGGTACTGGTTGTGCTGGCTGACCTCTGTTTTTATTCAATTCAGATATTTGCAGCATCAGACTCCAAATCAGGCCATACTGCTGGACCTTGACATGTAAACGGGGACAGAAATGCAGTTGTGATGTGCTGTTATACCTTTTCAGTGTTGAATCAGCTTGCGTCTCCAGCGGGGCACAGCTGCTCCACTTAGCTCAGTTACACAGTAAAGTGTGTGGCAGCTTAGCACACCGAGCTCAGAAAAGGCTGGGAAACTACATTGAGCTGCTCAATAATTAATAGATGCCCCATGCCAAACTCCTAAACTTTTTAGCGCATAAAAACAACAAAAGTGGCCTTCAGCTACAATTATGGCTGATGGAGGCACAGGAATTTACCCAAAGAGCCAACAATTTAYCATTACTGTTTCATTTTCCAGAGACAGGTTTAGAACAATGATCAATGTCCTGGGAGACGCGCTGGCTGCTGGGATCATGGCCCACATCTGCCGGAAGGAGTTTATCAAGGATGGTGACGAGGTAACCTCACTATGAGCCAGGGTGTGCCAGGGTGTGCTGTATGATGGCAAAGAACCTGAGAGCTCCCACATTTGGTTCCTCTAGTTTATRAGAGGTGTTTGAGAGAGAGGACAGAATTGGGCAATGCGCTGCTTAGCAGATGGGGTGGAGAGATCCTTTTGCATGAGGTCATGTGAGAGTTCAGGGCTAGCCAGCCAGCTGTCTGGCACAGTGGGGATGGAAGCAGCAGCTGTGCTGTCCTGCAAATGCATGAGATGCTGGAACTGTGAGTCCCACACTCACCACACACGTCCTGCCTGGCTGGTAATTTGCCCTTCTGGAAGTGTGACCATCAACACAGCAGGGTGACACAGTGTAGGGGGAGGCAAAGSTATCTATGGGTGTGCATATGCATGATCAATAAGCTCACATCAAAAGCAACTGCCCTGGGCATTGCAAACCCCTGAGTCAGCATAATCTGAAGCCACTCTTGCAATAATTTTCCTTCCAGACTATCACAAGCACATGACTCCATTCTAGACTTCATTGTCAGACATCCTCATGCCTTCTACATTTAACACAAGTCCTTCCTTATGTCTTTGTTTTTCCTCSTCTGTATTTTATTTCATACATCACACATACCTCTGTATTCTCCCCCTGCCTTCTTCCACTCCTATGCATTTCCTCCTTCCTCTTTGGCTTGCATCATTCAATCTGTCCTTACAACAGGAACTCCTCATGTCCTTCCTTCAATCCTTGACAAAGGAGATCCCTGATTCCAAGAGCCCATCAGATTTGGAGGTGCTAACCTCCAACCTCAGCTCATGGCAGACTCTCATTACCTTTCTTCCMCAAAGACAGAATAATTTATGCAGGAAAGTTTCTTCCTCAGGACTAATTTTCACAAGGCATGTTTCATTTCTGTGCATCATCTGCAGCATTCCACACAAATAGCAGTTTTCTTTCTATCATTATTTCTCTCATTCTACAAKCTTTCTGATCAATCTCATTCTCATGCCTTCCTGCAACATTCACGTGAAATTCCTGGTCTTTGGAGTTGTATGTAGAAAGACGGGCAGTGTCCTCTGAGATACTCTGCAGTAATTACTGATGACAGGATTAAGCCTAGGCTACACATGCAGCTATCCACAAACCCCCTAAAATACAACCTATGCTAAGGTGTATCATCCATTGCAAAGCCAGAAGTGTAGGCCAAYCTCCTGCATAACACAGGCCTCCTGACATTTCAYTGCTGTATTWAGAACTCAGTCCAAACTTAAGAAGAGATGTTTCAGTAATATAAAATCCCTCCTGRGGGATTATTTAGTCATCTGTGATGAGATTTTTCTTTGAAGCACGCTCTGTAACGGTACTAAAATATACTGCTAGTCTGCCATACRTTTTGGCTGAATAATTTGTGCAGTTAGTAATATATACCCAAAGGCCATATTTTCTCAGCTGCAGGCCCACCTCTCTCCTCTGCCAGTATTTACGTCTTACTTTCCTCATCAGAATCTGGTTTGACTTAAAGAACACTTCAATATTTAACTTACAGGTCAGTTAATAAAATCCCCTTTATTTCTTTCAAAACAGTGCAAACTGAAGAGACAGGTGTTAGTTTATTGGGTTAGAAGAAAGGCATAAGGCAACAACAAATGGTTTGTTGGTCTATTTAATTGAACCCAAGAGCAACCACTGCCTAGAGCTCAGCAGCACRGCCATTGAGAGTCTGTACCTTTTGAACTAAGTCCTGGAATGCTGGTCCATGTTTATCCTACTTAACCCTTAACCAATGGCAAGCAGCTGTCACCATGAGTGCAAGTTAAATTAGAGTTGTGACAGAATTTGCCTTTTTACACAGACTCCTTCACTTCATGCAGATGGTGCAGAGATGCCTTAGTGTATATGAGAAACAGCTTCTGGAAGTCTATGGAGGCTCTAGATAATCCTGGTGAATGTAAAGCAGCCCACAGGCTTTCCAAGTAAAAATTCCCTTCCTGTTGTATACAGCAATMAGTGGCAGTATTCCAGATCTTAATGCTTTTCACATAGGTGCCATTGATCTGTGAAACTAAGCCTATTAACATCCATCAGATTGTGGCTTACCAGAGGAATGGCTGTGTGAAGACCATGAATGAATCTCGTGGACCAGAAACAGTGAAAGGGCAGCACCATATACCCGTACAAGTGGAGCAAGAAGAAACTCCAGTGGAGAATCACACTAAGAAATCCAACAGCAAAGACCACTGCACTATCGAAATAAATGAACTGGAAACAAATGTGTGACTGCTACACTCAGAGGTATCTCTAACCTCAGTGACCTGATACCCAATCTCTACCTCACAGCTGGAAGAAGGACWCTTTGCCTTGAACAGGAAAATGTGGAATTATTGCCACCCTGCTTGTACTGGAGCTAGGAGACCAGCTGTGAACGTCAAGAAAGGCACACAGCTTGCAAGAGACATGGGCTTCTTTAGGTGGAAGATTTTACTGCTGAAAAATTAACTAACGGACAACTACTGTTATATTCTGCACTCAATGACTTCAATTTAGTATTTGACACTCCTTTGGCTTCTTTTTTTTAAAAGCTTTTTTTTTTTATTTGACCCTTTTTGATTTTCTAACCAAAGCCTTTTTTTGTGAATCTCAGTAATTACAAACACTGTAGAATTTTTACTATGTGAAAATGTTTCACCAAAACTGCTAAAGATACCAATTTTGTCTAATATTCACTAGTTTGTGCTTAGTTTTAGACCAGTAATAAGAAAATCACACTGATTTCCTGATCTCAAGGGGTTACATCTATTCCTAAACAATCCAAGCTGAGGGGAAGTGAAGTGTGCATTTGTGCAAGAAAGGGCATTAAGGTAATTGTGACAGGCAGCCTTCAGAGACAGGCAGTCAAGTGTGATACCTAACACAAAGAATTCCTAGGTCACTGCAGAGCACAGTTTGCCTTCCAAGTGCCAGATTTATTAACCTTTTTTTAACCTAACTCTTCGGTAAAGTCAGTTCCATGCACATGCAGTGGCAGAGGCAATGTGAGCCCTAATCCACAAGCACTGGTGCTAATGTGTCCTCTCCTGTAACCTCTAGGTTGTGCTACTGTAAATATGTATGAACACAATGTCCAAGCTCATGAACCATGAGCTGCATCCTAAGAGCAGACTGAACACAAACTGGAACCAGAGGATGCTGAGTTATAAAGGGGTTTTGTGAGGAGTTTGCTGTGGAAACTGCCTCATTATTTCTCACAATTCTGTTGACAGTTACTTCCTTTCCACTATCTACTGACTCTTTCACTTACAGTAAAATCTGCTGCGTATGTTTCCAATGTTTGTGATAGAGAACATTTTTAATAAACCTGCCATTTAAAACCAGGCTGTCTGTGCACTTCTACTATTAATGTCTTCTTATGCCTCTGCTAAAATGGAGAGTGGAAGTGAGGAGACCTTTTGAAAAGCTGGGATTTGATCCAGAGATTACATAACAGCTCATACCAATACATTGACATATCATATTTAGCTACTTGTGGCATAGCAGCTTGAGATACCATGTGCYTGGCATTCTAATATGTTCTTCTCATCTGTAGAGAAAAAATAACCCAGTCAAAAAGGACAATTTATTTCTGCATTAATCAGAAGCAAAAGTGCTTCATGCATTAGTTCATTGCAGAYTCAGTGTATCATTCATTCATTAGCAGTTTTCCTGGGATGTACCTTTTCACCTCTTCTTTGAGGGCTCCTGTTCAGMCTATTTCTTATGTCATGCACTAATTAATTGCCTCAGAGCACCATAGTACTTAAAGTACCATAAGTAGTTTAATTATTAAATAGTAAAGCCAGAAAGAACACAYATCTTCTTTGTCTGGAGCTCCTCAGAAATTATGTATTGATTTGTAAATATGTACAGTTGGTAACTATTTTCCTGATTTGACCCTAGAGAGAAAATAACAAACAGAACACAAAGAATAGGGAAGAACTGAAATGATTCAGAGCAATTTGCTCCAGATCAAGTCCTGTGAAGGACCTGCCTGCAGAGTGTCATCAGAATGAGTGACTGGGGAGAGCTGAGGCTGCTCTGTGCCTCTCTGAACGGGCAGAAGCACTGCCTGACAAACACAGCATCTGATACTTTTCATCTCAGCAGCACTGGCAGCTCCAGGAGRTCCCCTTCATCCTTTCCCAGCTGTCCATTCCTGCCTGCACTGCCTCCCCTCCTCTCCCAGCTGTACAGACCATATTATTTATGAGGCCAGACAAAGAACCAGATGAGAAGTATTTTTAATTCAAACCAGTTCACATATGTTTTTAGCATACTCCTAACAGACAGTTGTGTCAAAACAAGTGAAGGGGTGATGCAGGGACAAGATCAAGCAGCCAGGGAAGAAACAGGGTAGGGCACATGGAGAGGGTAGGACCTCTGTGTGCCAACTTTACCCACGAAGAAAATACCACTGAAAGTTTCCACTTCATACAGTCAGTTACAGCTACCTGAAGTGATAGTATAATCCTGCCTGTCAGTTTACAACCACTTTGCACAGATAAAAGTTATGAAGAGAGAGGCCAAGTAGATCCAAGATGTGGAATGAGTAGTGTTAAGTGGTTTTGGAAAATCTGCCCACACACCATGCCACTTAGGTGCTCCTAACCTTACCACCACCTYCCTTCCCAGCCATCTACAACCTGTGGCTAACTACAAAGTGCAAATCCTTTTGCCCCTTGCCTGAGACAGCTTACTTGGTGTGACACTCATCGGTGGAGTCATGAGGTCTAAGTCAACTCTGGTGCTTAAGCTGCTTCTACAAGCAGAACTTCAGATGAGACAAAGCATCAAAAACCAGCAGTCCGTTGTGCTGCTCAAGTCCTACACAACAAAGAAAACCACAATTTTGTCCCTCATGCTSTGGCAAGTAGGTAATGTGGGAGTCTCATGTGTGAAGGCATATTTTTATGGACTCAACAAACTGTTTTAAAATCAGCTTTCTGCATTCAAACTTTATTCAAAGAGTGTCCAGTTCTGCTTTGCAAATTGGAAATGCATTATTTTTTTTACATTATAGTTTGGGGTTTACACCAGTATGTGTCTCCCACTCACCTGCAGGGAAGGCAGTGGTCCTGTTTCTCACCTGGCCTTTTTCATTGGTGGTGTGAAATGCTGCTGACCACAGGCCTAAGGCACTTTGGGTCTTTGTTCTGGTATTGTTTATTATGACCTTGATTGGAGCATCTGATTGCTACTGCGCTCATACTAGACTGAACACAATACACCACTGATAGCTGGGGAGAGGCAAACACTGAAGTTATGGTAATTCCTGTAGTAAGTTTTTCTCCATTTTCTGTGTCTTGTGGTGTGTGTTGTCAAGCAGCTTGATGCAGAGTGCAATTAGATTAGCAGTAGGTTCCATAACATATTTGTATTCATGGATCTGTTCAGTGTGATTTTCCAGTTATAATCACACTTCCTTCCAAMAAAAATAACAAAGCTGTTGATTATCAAGTTAGAGTGCAAGATTTGTGTTGGTAAATATGTTTCTCCWACTTTCAGAGCAYAAAAACAAACATGTGACCTTTATCRTCTCAAAAATTTATATTAATATAATCAATCAATCGACCAGTCAATCACTTATTACAACAGTTTGCATGGTATAATTTCAAGCATATGTGGAGAGAACATATTTCTCAACTGGCAACATTCAATCTTATTTGAAGTTGCCTCCCCCTGCAAAACAGAAAGGGAAYGTAGCCAGTTCAAGTATACTCAAGGCACACTGGAGAAGTCTTGAGGAGGGAGAGAGATAATTAMGAAAGGTGGTGCATTGTATACAGCTATAGAAGTAGTAATTTGGGAAGAAACTCAAATTAGCACATACATATCAGAGGCAGTTGCTTTATGCTTGTTAATTTGCAGCTGCATTGTTCAGATAATACTACTGAGAGGAAAGAAGCCACTGCAGATTGTTGTGGCATAAGACATCATTAAAGACGTATAAAAACGGGTTCTTGAGGATTTTGCCAATGCCAAGGAAGTTCTGCAGTATTGAATTGCTGAAATAAATCCTCATGCAACAATTAGAACTGAGACGAAGAGACACAATGAGACCACTTACATATCCCACCATGTCCCAAGAGCTTCTGGCAGCCAACCCTAACACAGAAGTTTATGSAACTAATACAGTCACTCATGTGCTCTGCTAGTCTTAACTGATTCCACTTAAATGACTTAAATTGCAGCTAAGTTTATTTGTGCCACCTGAATACATATCSCAACATACAAATAAGATTGTCTAAATTATTAGCTGAAACATTGCATTGGAGATGGCCACGCTCTTATACCAGCAATTCTAAATCACTTAGAAAATACAGGAACTCCGTAACACCCCCATTTGACGAGCTCTCACTTTCAATTCTACAACAAACATTCATTTTAGTGCCTTTTTAACAACAGCAAACTGACTTGTAATACTTTCAAAGCAGACAGAAAGCTTCATCTTCAAGCCAGATGGATAGTTTTGGAAATKACCTCAGTCCTTTCTGTGCTTTCCATAAAAATGAGGTAATTATTAGCAGAAGGTGGTTGATGTGTGCAAGCACAATGTGTAACCTGGGAAATGAACTGAATGTGGAAAGCTCAGGCTGCCTTTRATCTTGCCCAACACCAAGAACTGGCTGTGCCTCTGCTGAGCACCCAGGTGTGTTTTTACAGCAAGAGCAGATCTTTCACCACAAACACAGAGGCAATGAGCAATTGCTGTTTTCCCCTGCAGGCAASTAAGGTGGTTGAGATCACAGCCCCSCAGCTGMGTAAGTACAGGGAGGAGAGAAAGCAATGAGGGTTTTTCTACAGGGATGCTCCTGTTGCCTATCTTACAGTGGGAGAGCACAGCTTTTTGCAATATCTAATACTTGAYCTGGCTGCATTTGGGAAAGGGGCCCCACAACAGACAAATTTAATGCACCCATTCACAAAGGGCCAAGCTTCGAATGAAAAACATGTACTAATTTCTCAGTTCAGACTGTGATTTCACCTACGACTAAGGAGACAAGAGACACTCAAAATTGCATTCCTCACTAACTACTCTGGAGCATACTGACTGATATTCCTGGAATTTATAAGAGGGTTTGTCTCACAAAACCCCAAATGGATGAGATCAATAGAACAGGAAGGGTGGTCTCTACTTAAGGTCAGGTTCATTATTCACTCAGACTTCCCATGTGATCTCATGGTCAAGTGACCACAAGAATGCAGGGTTTGCTTCCCATCTGTAAACAGAGAAAAGAGCCATTTCTAAATCAACAGGGTGATGCATGGTAAGGATAAATGAGCTGAAGACTAAGACAGTTACATAACACAGTGAAGGGAACTCATAATTACCTTGGATTAGCCATTTCTATCTCTCTGGAAGCACAGGATCATACTCACAATATTCACAGGAACTGCCAGGCTTCCATTTTAAGTGACAGAACCTCAGATGCCATCATTTAT